CACGTTCTGCGTGGAGCACTGGGTGTTATGCACAAACAATGAATCATGGAACACTACATCAAAAACTAATGATGTAATGTATTGTGATTAACATAAAAATAAAAAATTATTTAAAAAACAAACAAACAAACAAAAAAAACTCCTGTCCCTTTCTACAGTCATATTTTCATCTTCTTCTCCAGTCTTGGAGGAGATCTTTTCTCCTGAGGAGGACCGGTCTTTGCTCTCAATTCTGTTTCCTGCCCTTCTTTCAGAAAAGTGTCCTTTAATGCTGCTCTCTCTTTCAAGCATCTGGAATCTCTACTCTCTCGTTTTCACCTCTACTGTGAAAAAGACCTATGGCTCAAATTCTAACTCTACCATTGATTTACTGTGTGACTTGGGTCAAGTATTTAACCTCTCTGTGTCTCAGATTCCTCATCCAATAGAGCCTGGTACATAAAATGTGTTCAATAAATGTTAACTTTCTATCATCATCATTATTTGAAAATTGTATGCTCCTTTAGCTCCCACATTTACTTATTTTTCTCTTTACTTTCTACACTGTGTGGTGGTTTCTGCTTCTATCACATTCTCATAGGTTCTTATAATTTCACAAATGACAAATTACCTTCATTCTTCCTTATCCTGTTGAAACCCTGCTTCCTCTCTCTAAATGCTCTATTCCATTACCTTATCTAAGACATTCTCCAGTCATTCATTTGCTGTTTTCTTCAGAAGTTGAAACTTTAATCCAACCCAGTAAGTGTAGAAAGAAAGAATAGACAAGACTTGGTAATATCTCTTGAATCCATCTCTAGAGCTGACACCTCAAGCCTTACAAGTGAAGCAATCTTCTAAATGTTTTATTTTTATCCAGCCTTTGCTTCCCCCGCCCTTAACCCAACTTATCCTGTCCCCAGCTGCCATATGAACTTTCTATCACTGTATCACTCTCCTGGTTAAAAGTCTCCACTGGCTTCCCACCACCAAACTCTTGAACCATGGCCTTCACTAACTTCCATCCTGACCCCAACCTTGCTCTCCAATAAGAATGTCCATAATAGGGGAGCCTGGGGGGCTCAGTCGTTAAGTGTCTGCCTTCGGCTCAGGTCATGATCCCAGGGTCCTGGGATTAAGCCCCATATAGGGCTCCCTGCTCTGCTGGAAGCCTGCTTCTCCCTCTCCTGTTCCCCCTGCTTGTGTTCCCTCTCTTGCTGTGTCTCTTTCTGTCAAATAAATAAATAAAATCTTAAAAAAAAAAAAAAAAAGAATGTCCACAATAGCCAAACTATGGAAAGAGCCCAGAGGTCCATCGACAGATGAATGGATAAAGAAGATGTGGTATATATATATATGCAATGGAATATTATGCAGACATCAAAAAATGAAATCTTGCCATTTGCAATGACGTGGATGGAACTAGAGGGTACTATGCTAAGTGAAATAAGTTAATCAGAGAAAGACAATTATTATATGATCTCACTGATATGTGGAATTTAAGAAACAAGGCAGAGGATTATAGAGGAAGAGAGGAAAAAATGAAATAAGACAAAACCAGAGGGGGAGACAAACCATAAGAGACTCTTAATCATAGGAAGCAAACAGGTTTGCTGGAGGGGACGGGGGGTGGAGGGATGGGGAAACTGGGTGATGGACATTGGGGATGGTATGTGTTGTAATGAGCACTGGGTATTATATAAGACTGGTGAATCACAGACCTGTAACCCTGAAACAAATAATACATTGTATGTTAATTAATTGAATTTAAATTAAAAAGGGCGGGAAAAAAAAGAAGTCCTACTCCTACTAAGCATGGATACTTATAATCAGCCACACTTTCTCAATATATCTTGCGTAGTTCTTCTTCACTGACATTTCTTTCGTGTTTTCTCACACAATTTCCCATTTCTTTCTACCTTTTGAATTGGATCAATTCAAAGCTTAAGTCCAACTTCTCACTAAAGCACTCTCAACAACCATTTTAATTTTTTTCTTTGATTTCCTACACCACTCAATGCCTACACCATGGGACACTTGCTACTAACTGTTCCACATTGTGGGTTCTGCCCTTACACATGCAGATCATACGTACTTCGGCAGTTAAGTTCTATGGCAGTGGGGATTCTTTTAAGTTTTGTTTCTTGACAGTACTTACCATTGCTCCTTGTATGTAGGAAAACCTTGGCTCAATTAACATCCGAGTGTCTTTCAGGAATCAGATACTGAATTGGGGCACAAAATTCCTAATTCTGTTCTCAGTAATGATGGAAACAAAGATCTCAAAAGATCATTCTTAGAAGTGCTAGGCCCTCCAAAAATAGACACTGCTGGAATTCCTTCTGTTAATAAGCTTGCCGGGTCAAGTTTCTTACTTGTTAATGTAATTTAAGGTTGCCATCTTTATTAGGTGATGACCAGACATTTCATTTGCTCCCAAATATCAGTGGCTTGAGTGTTTAAAAATTATTGCTCACATCTGCCTAAGTGGTTCACATTTTCTGATTTCTATCTTTGTTTCTTATTTTCCACAATCTCCCCTCCCTTTGCCATGGCTCTCTTGTGGTCCTATCTGCTATATCAATACTACAATCTCATCAATTCCCAGTAATCAAATGGTGGCAGATCAAAACTATTAACAATTTCTCTGAATATTAACTTACACTTTAAAGATAATTTTGGATTTCAGTTGGGTCATAAAATTAAACATTCCTTCTTGTTTTCATATATTTAATCAAGAGATGACTTTATCATGCTTATGCTGTATGTTTTGATAATGGACAAAACTGAGAAGATCATTTTTACCAAACAAATTGTTTTAATAAAAACAGAGAAGTGTAATAATAAAAAATGAAATGCCATACCTGGGTCCACTCATTTGTCTGGGGATCATAAGCCTCCACTGTATTAAGATAAGTCTGTCCATCATACCCTCCAACAGCATATAATTTATCACCAAGTAAGCAGACCCCCACTGCATCTCTGCTGATGCTCATAGATGCCACTGCAGTCCACATATCTGTTTTGGGATCATATCTGAAAGAAAATTTTAGAACTGGAGCTGACATTGTTCTCACAGTATTTTTATGTAAAAATAGTTTATGGATGAAAGACTCGCATGTCAGACCTGACACAATAAAACTCCTAGAAGAAAACATAGGAGGTAAGCTCCTTGACACTGGTCTTGGCAATTATTTTTTGGATCTGACACCAAAAAGCAAAGGCAACAAAAGTAAAAGTAAACAAACGGGACCACATCAAACTAAAAACGTTCTGCATAGTGAAGGAAACCATCAACAAAATGAAAAGGCAACCTATGGAATGGGAAAAAATGTTTCCAAATCATGTATCTGATAAGGGGTTAATATCTAGAAGATCTAAAGAACTGTACAACTCAATAACAACAACAACAACAAAAACCCAAATAAACCACTTAAAAATGGGCAGAGGGTCTCAATAGACATTTTTCTGAAGAAGACATATAGATGGCCAGTAGGTACATGAAAAGGTGCTTAACATCACAAATCATCAAGGGAATGTAAATCAAAACCACAACGCCTGTTACCAAAAAGATAATAACAAGTGTTGGGGAGGATGTGGAGAAAAGGGAACCCTTGTGCACTGTTGGTGGGAATGTGAATTAGTGCAACTGCTATAGAAGACAATATGGAGATTCCCGAAAAAAATTAAAAATAGAACTACCATATGATCCAGTAATTCTACTTCTGGGTATTTAACCAAAGAAAATGAAAACACTAATTTGAAAAGATATATGTACCCTCATGTTCACTGCAGCATTATTAACAGTAGCCAAGGGCACCTTGAGGGGCTCAGTTTGTTAAGCAACTGCCTTTGGCCCAGGTCATGATTCTGGAGTCCCGGGATTGAGTCCGGGATTGAGTCCCACATCGGGCTCCCTGCTCAGCGGGGAGTCTGCTTCTCCCTCTAACTCTCCCCCCTCTCATGTGCTCTCTCCCATTCTGTCTCTCAGATAAATAAATAAAATCTTTTAAAAAAAAAAGTAGCCAAGACATGGAAACAACCTAAGTGTTCATCAATGGGTGAATGGATAAAGAAAATGTGGTACATATAGAATACACACATATACACATGCACGTGTGCACACACTGGAATATTATTCGGCCATGAAAAAGAATGAAACCTTGCCATTTCAACAACATGGATGGACCTTGCGGGCATTGTGCTAAGTGAAATAAGCCAGAGAAAACAAATACCTATGATCTCACTATATGTGGATTCTAAAACAAAAACAAAAAACTAAGCACATAGATTGGTGGTTGCCAGAGGTGGGGCATGGAGGGGGTGGGTGAAATGGAGGAAGGGGGTCAAAAGGGACAAATTTCTAGTTATAAAACACATGAGTTATGGGGATGTAATATATAACATGATGATATAGTTAATAATACTGTATTGTATATCTGAACGTTGCTAAGAGAGAAGATCTTGAAAGTTCTCATCACAAGAAAAAAATTGTAACTATATATGGTGATGGATGTTAACTAGACTTAATTGTGATCATTTCTCAATATATACAAATGTCAAATCATTATGTTATACACCTGAGACTAACGTAATGTTATATGTCAATTATACCTCAATAAAAGAATACCTACATATCCAGAAACACCTGGGAGAGGCAGTATAGCAAAGTGGTTAGAGAATGGACTTTGGGTTTAGGCTGAAGAATCTTGAGTCCTTATCCTTCCAATCACTGGCTCTGTGGTATTGTAAAGTTACTTAAAATCTTTACATCTTAGTTTCTTTATTGGTGAAAATACTGCTCACTATGTAGCATTGAGGATTAAATGAAAATGCACAGTAAGCATTTGATAAATGTCATCTTAAAGATGAGTTGGTTCATTTATTACAATTTTCTCCTATTAGCAAAGAATATATTCTTGTAACAAAAATTCAAAGATTACAAAAATATATAAAAAATGCAATAATTAACCTCATTTCCTTCCAACTTTAATTAGAGAGTCAAGTGGTAACCACTATTAACAGTGTGGTTTGTATTTGATCTTCTAAATATTTCATTTTTTATTCTTAGGGCTTGAGATGCCTATTTCAGAACATGTTTTTTTTTTAATTCAGTTTACTTTTTCTTTCCATGTAAAACATTAACATTTTTTTCTTTCAAGAAAATAAAAATAGATTAGTTCTTTAAGCCTACCCTTTATCTTATTACTTCTATCTAAAGTATATTTGAACATATTTTAGAAAAAATATCAATATTTTCCTGAAAACTTTTAACTTACAATATTATAGATTCATTTAGTAAATCCATAACACTTAAACTATCCAAAAGAGCTAAAGTAAATACTGAAAACTGCTTTAAGATTTTCGATTGCCTACTGAAAATCTGAGGAAATCAATACATGAATCTCTATGTAAGATGGCTTACAGATGTAATCATTAAAGCTATCCACTTTTGAACCTTCTTGCTCCTTTCATGAAATATATTAACTAGAACAGCTCAAAGTTGTCTATCTAAGAGCAGATACATCATGCTAAAATGACCTATATTGCTTCTAATACCTCTTGCACAAAAATGAACAATTTTTCATTGGGTGCAGTACTGCGATGCTCCTGTAATTTATGGGGTAAAGTGTACAAAGAGCTCCATATTCCTTTCCTGGAGTATAACATGCAGCAAGCATAGTCTTCCTAACACAGGTGAAATGTAAGTATAACTTTCCTGCTTTCTCAAAAGACAACAAACCGATCTTCCTTATTATTTCACAGAAAGCATTCATTGTCATTAAACCTGCATTTCACTTTTTATCTTTCTTCCAATCATGTATAATTAAATAAAATGCGTGTGCACGCACATACACACTTATCAACTTCCCATTGCTCTTTAAAATCCAGAATCCTTAAGACTCTATGTGCTCTGCCCCCATCTCCACCCTAGTCCGCCTCCTTTTCTGTCACTGTCTCCCTCACTCTCTGTTCCCTAGGCACAGTGGCCACCTTTCAGTTTTCTGAATGAACCATATCCCTTTCTGCTTTGGAGTGTTCGTACATGCTTCCATTGACTCTACCTCCTAAATACATTCAATTTTCTCCATTCCTTGAACCAGACTAAAGATAACAGATGGGAGCCTGAACTATTGTCCAAATCGTCCATTGATGTTAGGCTCTTTACCTGACCCCATACTTGAGTTACATGCGGTCAGTTTGGATGACTTGTGTAACCTTTTAAGCCATACTAGTTTTTTATTTTATTATTTCATAGTATCTCATTATATCAAAATGGGTTAGAAATGTTCCTCTCCTTTTCACTTCTTACTTAGCCTCCAGCCCCATTCCTTCTCTCTGAAATTTGGCAAGCTCCTTTCCTTTTCTTGTCAGGTACAGTATCCAGTATAAAATATGTACACAATAAATGTTTGTCATATAACTCAATTAATAAATTATATAATTAAGTCTAAGGTAAATTTTAAGTAGGCAGTAATATGATGAGAGAAAAATCTGAGTAAGCTGTTAGGAGAAAGACCAGGAGACGGCCGGAGCAGACAACCCAATGTTTACAAAGCTGTGAAGGAACCGCCTTGTACATGGTAGGCATTCAATAAGGAGTCATTAATTTGTCTGGAAGTGTCAGACAAGTTTTCCTTCACAGGAAATTACCTCTCCACGCAGTCTGAGAGTCTGGAAGTCAAGTTGGACGCAGGAGCATCATGTCCTCCAATTGCATACAGCAATCCATTCCAGGTAGTTACCCCTACTCCCCCTCTCCTTTTTGACATTTGTGCACAGAGTGTCCATTTATTAGTATGAGGATCAAAACATTCTACTGATTTGAGGCAAGAACTTCCATCACGACCACCAACTGCATAAAGCCTATAAGAACAAATAGAATAATAAATAAGAGTGCCATCATTATAATTAAGACAAAGAGATTATTCTTATGGTATTTCATTGAATTTAAGGTGCCATAGATTATAAGACACACTGCCAATTTATGTGCCATCAAGAAAGAAGATTTGCTACCAATTATATGACATATGTATATGATATATATCTACCAGATATCACTCTGTATATACATAAAAAAGAACAAACTTACATGAAAGCAATGATAACTATTTCTGACAAGTCACCACTGATTATAAGATGCATCACAATCTTAGAGGCATAAAATGTGTCTTAGAATAGAAAAAATGTGGTATATAAATATACATGACTTCTTTCTTAAATAGCTAAGATAGGACTAGGTTATAAAGGAAAGAAACTAACCTTTTCTGCACCTACCACAGGCTAGACATTTTACCTGTATTAATTTAATCATCTCAATGATGCTATGAGAAACCATTTATATTCCTGTTTCATGGGTGAAGAAACAGGCTCATGGAGATTAAGAGGCTTATACAGGGTCAGGAGCAGATTGTGGGCAGTCACCTGGGATGTTCTTATAGTAGTGAAACAGGAGAATAAAAGGATTGCTTGAAACAGTGGTATGTAAATTAATATTTATTACATACGAACAGTGAATCATTAATTTAAATTACTGCAGAGAAGGATGCTGTAAGTTATCTAAAATGAATATGATATGTTAATGTCCTAAATGTTGCCTAGTAGATAAATTTTAATTCATTACCAATCAATATACTGCATTAATTTTAAAAGTCTTTCTCTGACATTAAAATATATATAAAATATTATATTTTTCTAATAATTTTTTCAAAAGAGTAATAAATTCAGATCATTGCTTATATAAAAGTCCCCACATTTTGAATTTACAGATGCCTTACTTAACATTTAACTATTTTTTTTTTTACCTCAGGAAAGAATATTTGAACTATACCAAATATCGGCCAATTAAAACTCTAAGTATTTATATTTGGGTAAATACATATATTTTAAAGACATTTGTTCATTTTAATTCATAATGTAAAGTACACTACACCACTCAAACTGGTGCGTTAGTGAGAAGATGACCATATCTTAGCAACATATGGGTGGTGCAATATCTTGTTCTAAACTTTATATTAATAGAATTAATTGAATTTGAAATTTATTTGAAACTTTGTTAGAAGTTTTTATCTGTCAAAAACTACTTTCTTGTGTTATTGTTCTTAATATTAAACTGTTCTCATTTTTAAATAATACTTGGTAGAATAATTGTTTGAATATGGATCACAGAATATCAGAAGACATCAACAATTAGAAAACATCCATAATTTAAAAAACATGTACACACATGCATGCGTGCGTACATGTGTGCGCACAAACACACATGGATTCAAGACCATAAAGGAGGCTTAGTCACGTAAGCTACTCAAAACTTTTAAGCAGAAAAGTGACATGGTCCCATTTGTATTTTAGGTAGGACATTAGGTAAGTCTCTAAAATGAAGGACGAAAGAGAGAGTTAAGATTAGGGGTAAAATGACCAGCTTGGGAGATACGCCAATAGAGCAGTTAAAATCACAAAGTAGATATACTGTACTTTCAAAATCAAATGTCTTAATCATTAGTAGATGAGTGATCTTCAGCTTCTGATACGATTCTTTGATTGTCTCAGTGTCAGTATTCAATAAATTGTACCTTAGATGGGCTAAAGACTGAAATATTTATTTCTCATAAGAGAGCAAGAGAAGGTGAGAAAGTAAGATATTTCCATGCTTAGAAGTTAAAGCTACTGTAGGTCTAGAAATTAGATTTTAGAGAAGGCAGCTACGCTTTTGTGCTGTTAGAAATATTTATTTCTAGGCTAGGAAATATGTCAGTGAACAAGAATTAGATCAATGAACTAATCCCAGAAATTAAACTGAAGGGTTAAAACTGAAAAGATATTGTTAGTTTTCTCTCTTTTTTCTCATTTACTAGATTCTTTGTTGGCTGACTCTGCTACCAAAGAATGAGGGAAGATATGTAGTGATAAATTTTGAAGTTCTTTCTTTAGCTAAAACAAATGAAGGGAGGGGTTTGGAGATCAGATACACTTTAAAAAGTGGGTTTCTATTTCTCTATCTTACCACTTGTAATAGTGCTAAAAACCAACAAAACGTAGGACATAACTAATAAGTCCTGAGGAACCAAGACCTTAGGTCATAAAGTATAAAAATCTGACTAATATTTTCTCACTTTCTTTTACCAATCAATACAATTCTACAAATAATTTTAAGTCTCTTTTAACTTTGATTCCTTCCCCTTTCTGGAAATGATGATAAAGCATTTTTTTTAAAAGATTTTATTTATTCATTTAAGAGAGAGAGAGAGAGAGCACAAGCAGGATGAGGGGCAGAGGGAGAAGCAGACTCCCCGCTGAGCCAGGAGCCCAACGCAAGGCTGGATCCCGGAACCCTGGGATCATGATCTGAGCCGAAGGCAGATGCCCAACCATCTGAGCCACCCAGATGCCCCGATGATAAAGCATTTTAAGTGAGTAAAGGTATGCAACAAACAACTTTTATTTAATAACATATAGGGCTTCATTTTATGGAAGAAAGGCCTTTGATATGTATTTAGTCTCTGAGTTACCAAGAGCTATTAGTGATGGTTCTGTCCAAATCTGTTAACTCCAGTTAGAGTAGACAAGAGCCAAGAGAGCACCTTTCTAAATCCATTTCAGTTTTCCGCAGTTCACCAAGATAAGAAAGAAGTAAAAGTAAAGATAAGTCAGTAGAAGAGATGGAAGGAATTATTTAGGAAAACAGAGAGAGGGCCTATGGTACATTTAAAATACTATGTACTTTTAGGGGGGTGGGGGGATGGGTTAGCCTGGTTATGGGTATTAAAGAGGGCACATTCTGCGTGGACCACTGGGTGTTATGCACAAACAATGAATCATGGAACACTACATCAAAGACTAATGATGTAATGTATGGGGATTAACATAACAATAAAAAATTATTTAAAAAAAAATGAGGCAAAATATAAAAGCCTCATCATAACAGCTATAACTGCATCAAAATTGAAGATGGCATTGTTATTTCTGTGACCTTAATAAAGATGAAACATTTATCTAAAAAAAAAATACTATGTACTTTTAAAGCTATATAAACCACCAGATTTTTACTATATTTATATAAAACTTCTTCACTCAAAATAACTTGAAATTTATAATATCTGCACATTAGAATGAAAACCCAACACGGTGAGTTATTTATATTTAGAACTACAATAAAAAGAGACTATTTTAAAAGTTTGCATCACTCTTAAAGTTTTTCTGTTTTGTGACTTTGTGTATTTTTTAACGTATATTTTTAAGTTAGACGATACAGCTCAATAAATTTGGTTTATTGTGTTTGAAACAGAATTTTAAATATTTCCTTACTTTCCACTTAGTACTGCCACACCTACTGTGCTCCTGGGGGTGGACATAGTGGCAACAAAATTCCACTGGCGAGCCTGAGGGTCCCATCTTTCCACTGTATTCAGATAGCTCCAGCCATCATGTCCTCCTACCGCATACATGGGACCTTCCAATACAGCCACACCTGCAAGGAGACAGGAAAGAAGCAATGACTTCAGATTTGCTGCTAGGTCTTAAAGATCACATTTTAATTGAAATCTAAATATACAGTTCACCACCTATGTTTTCTTCTGAGTTTGATGGTTCCAGGTCTTATGTTCAAGTCTTTAACCCATTTTGAGTTTATTTTTGTGTTTGCTGTAAGGTAATGGTCCACTTTCATTCTTTTGCCTGTGACTATGCAGTTTTCCCAGCACCATTTATTGAAGACTGTCCTTTCCCCATTGTATATCCTTGGCTCCTTTCTTGTAACTTAGTTGACCACATATGCTTGGGTTTATTTCTAGACTCTCTATTTTGTTGCACTGATCAATGGGTCTGTTTTTAAGCCAAATACCATAATGTGTTAGTTATTATCACTTTGTAGTATAGTTTGAAATCAGGGAGTGTGATGCCTCCAGCTCTGTCCTTCTTTCTCAAGTTTGCTTTGCTATTCTTTTTTGTTTTGATTTGATTTTGGTTTTTTGTGGCCTCATACAAATTTTAGGATTATTTGTTCTTTTTCTTTGAAAAATGTCACTGGAATTTTGATAGGGATTGCATTGAATCAGTAGATTGCTTTGAGTAGTATGATGAACCTTAAACATGCAAATTTAGTTAAGGAAACATTTATGGTAAAGACACCTGGGTTTTTTTCTAGCTCTTCTTGGTCGGTCGGTGGGTTGGTGAGGGGGGAAAGTAGCTCTATGGCTCTGGTCTACTAAGCTTTAGAGGCAGTATCTTGAGATCCAACAGTGGAAAGTTATTTAAAACTATACAATATGTATACATTGCCATATTTAAAAGATTTTTCAATAATTCAGATTTAAGATATATTTGTAAAATCATTTTTATTCCTTTCCCTCTATTGGTTCAAATTCATGAGATTTTATTCTAGTTAGACTTGATAACACAATCTATTGGTGTGATTCATTACCAGGGAACCAAGTTCCCTTATTCAACAAACATTTAGTTTTTATTAAGTGCCAAACGCTTAATAGAAGTTAACAGATAAGGGCCCTGCCATCATGGACCTAATATTTTAGTCAGGAAACAGGCAAAATATATTTCAGGTATTGATGAGTGCTAATAAGAAAAATGGAACTGAGGAGAAGGGTAGGGAGTGTCAGAGAAGACCTCTTGGACAAAGTGACATTTGAACAAAAATGTGGATGAAGTAGCCAGATATGAAGATATCTGAGAGAAGAAAAGGTGAGGTAAAGGGAACAGTATGTACAAACTACACACATACACACATATATATAGTTCCAAATATATAAAAATATATCCAATTATATGTGTGTATGTATGTGCCTATAATTAATTAAAGAGCTGGAAGAAAAATTAATGGGTCCATCTAGTTCAACTCCTTAAACAATATCTTTGAAAATGAGTTTTAGCAGCAGAACCACTTCTTCAAAATGAAATCTTTATTTAATTCTCACATGTAAGAGATAAAAGGAATGTTTCCTATGTAAGAGTTTCTTTCATAAGTTCAATTGTATAACATTGATTTATTATATGGTAAATAAGTAAGAACAAGGATGACAGAAAGATTTGGAAAAAAAAAACAAAAACAACTCGAAGAAGACATTTGAACTGGGCACTTGGGTGGCTCAGTTGGTTAAGTGACTGCCTTCGGCTCAGGTCATGATCCTGGAGTCCCGGGATCGAGTCCTGCATCAGGCGCCCTGCTCGGAGGGGAGTCTGCTTCTCCTTCTGACCCTCCACCCTCTCGTGCTCTCTCTCTCTCATTCGTTTTCTCAAATAAATAAAAAATCTTAAAAAAAAAAGACACTGAACTATATGATCATTCTCCTTTGAACTTGTTTCGATAAAGCATTTTGTATGGTACCTAGAATTAATGTCAGTATTCTATGCATAATCTAATCTGCACAAAACATAGCAGGATCATGGGCATTCTTATTCTATATACCATAAGAATTTACCTTAAGTTAAAATTAAATTTCTTTTCTCCATGGTGGCGGAAAGTATGCAGGTGAATCACACTATTGACCCTGGATTTTATGGTCAACCCAAGTTTTTAAGTCTCATTCATGCTGCTTTTTTTTTTTTTAAGATTTTATTTATTTATTTGAGAGAGAGAATGAGAGAGAGAGAGCATGAGAGGGGGTGGGGTCAGAGGGAGAAGCAGACTCCCTGCTGAGCAGGGAGCCCGATGTGGGACTCGGTCCCAGAACTCCAGGATCATGACCTGAGCCAAAGGCAGTCGCTTAACCAACTGAGCCACCCAGGCGCCCCTCATTCATGCTGCTTTTAAGATACATTCCCATTCTGTGCTTATGTAATAAGTTGATCTTATGGACTCAAGATTAATATTTTACAGTTTTGTTAAATCTCATATAGTTTATTTTAAGCTCCCCTCTCAGTACCTTACCCCTAACCCTCTGGTTTTACTTCCTTACCAAACTTGAAACTTAAGATCACCTTGAACTGAAATCTAATTGCAAATAGTAGAATCACTTGTTTCTTTGATCTTTTTTGCTGTACCCACTATCAGACCAATCTTCAAGCCTAGATAATTTTCATTACTGGCTACTGGCTTTCTTTTGGCAGCCTCTACTCTGGTGCTCAGCATTAATAAAGCCAATGTAGTACAAAGTTATGCTACCTAAACTAAACTATGACTTCATTGCTACCCATCCATCTTTCAATTCATCTTTCATGACGATCTATCAAATTCTTTTTTTTTTTAAGATTTTATTTATTTTTTGACAGAAAGAGAGAGACGGCGAGAGAGGGAACACAAGCAGGGAGAGTGGGAGAGGGAGAAGCAGGCTTTGCAAAGAGCAGGGAGCCCGATGCGGGGCTTGATCCCAGGACCCTGAGATCATGACCTGAGCAGATGGCAGACGCTCAACGACTGAGCCACCCAGGCACCGCAATCTACCAAATTCTTTATTGCAACTAATTTAAACCTTTTCCAAACTGTGATACATTGACAATATGGCCACAAATTCTTCTTATCACTGAATGCATGCCTATTTTCAATGTGACTCTGCAGCTCCTTCCGCCAAGAAGAGTAGTGTCCATCAACAGATGAATGGATAAGAAAGATGCAGTATCTTTCACACACACACACACACACACACTGGAATATTACACTGGAATATTACATTATACAAACGATGAGATCATACCATTTGAGACAACATGAATGGACCTAGAGGGTATTATGCTAAGTAAAATAAGGCAGACTAAGAAAGACAAAGGCCATATGATTCCATTCATAGATGGCATCTAAAAAATGATTAATCAGGGGCACCTGGGTGGCTCAGTTGGGCAAGCATCTGCCTTCGGCTCAGGTCATGATCCCAGGGTCCTGGGATCGAGTCCTGAGTTGGACTCCCTGCTCGGCGGGGAGCCTGCTTCTCCTTCTGCCCCCTGCTCGTGCTCTCTCGCTTTCTCTCTACCTCAAATAAATAGAAATAAAATCTTTTAAAAAATAAAATAAAAAATGAATAAACAAATAAAGAACAGAATCAGAACTACAGATAGAGAGAACAAACTGATGGTTGCCAGAGGGGAGGGAGAAGGAGAGCTGAGCAAAATGGATGGAGAGGGAGATAACAGGCTTCCAGTTATGGAATGAGTAGGTCATGGGAAGAAGAGGCTTAAGAAATATAGTCAGTGATAATGAAGTAGGGATGTATAAAACATAGCGTAATGTATAAATTTGTCAAATCACTAAGTTGTACACGTGAAACCAATGTAACATTGTGTATCAACTAGACAAATAAATATAAACACATACATACATATATACATAAATAAGAAGAATAGCCTTTTTCTCTACTTTTTGAATCTGGGCTTGCCCACGTGACTTGTTTTGGCCAGTGCAACATTAGCAAACATGAGGCCGGCAGAAGCTTAAAAAGTCTTTGTGCACTGTGGCTTGCCTTCTCTTGCTGCTTTTGAAACTCTGTGACTGTCCCCATGTGAAGAAGCCTGGCTAGCCTCCTGAATGATTAGAGGCACATGGCCCACTTGTCTCTGTTGCCCAGGCCAACAAGCTGCCTACTACTACACATGTGATTGAGGCTATCTGAGATCACCTAGCTGACCTGCCAGCCCACCAGAGATCCATGAGAAAACCCAGCAGAAATCATCCAAGGCAGCCTGGACCAGAAGAATGGCTCAGCGGACCCACAGATCCATGAGCTAGATATATGGTTGTTTTAAACCTCTGACTTTTGGAGTATTTGTTACGCAGCAAAAGCTGGGTGATAACCCCAACTAATTTTATTTCCATCTGCTTTACTCTCATCAAACAATTCTATTTCACCTATTCTTTCTCCTATCAAAAAAGATAGGTCATGTGACACAAGACCCTAAATTATCTTCTATCATACTCAGAGTAAGCCATCAGTTCCTTCAGAGTAGACAGTGTCTTCTTCATCTTTGTATACCTACTGAGCAAAGAACACGGCACATAGTACATGCTAATCAATGTCAGTTCAGTGAATTATTGAATGAAAGAATGAAAAGTCTCTATCGTTATATTCTCTGTGCCACCTCAAGATTTCTCTGGGTTTTTCTTCACTTCTGCTTAAAAACCAGGGGCTATAGATGATTAAATAAGCATTTCAATCAGCTTAGATTAACACTGATTGTCAACACAGAATACATATTTTAAAAGGCAGCTTATCACTCCATCATGCTACAATAAAATCTTTAAATTACTTGTTTTTACTTGTGCTGGTTGCTGTTACACTTATGTATATGCTTGTTTGCCCTGATTCTGCTTCTCAGTTAAGGAGCATGTGAAGGAATGCTTGGTGACTGATTGTTGCTGACTCAGCCGCTGCCACCGTGGTCTTCTTCTGCCTGGTACAGATTGTAAAAATGCTGTGGAAGCCTAATGTATGATATCACGAATGAACCTGCATAATTATACTCACCAAGGCCATGCCTGTGGGTGGACATAGGAGGCATCACACTCCAGGTTTTTGTTTTGGGATTGTAGCATTCTACAGTGTTCAAAGTCTTCAGTCCATCTCTTCCTCCAACCACATACAGTTTGTCATCTAACACTGCAACACCAAACTGTAGCCTCCTCCCATTCATATTTGCTACAGGAGTCCACATATTTGTACGAAGATCATACTTTTCAATGCTTGTTGCTCCTTAATAGTAATATATAGAAGTTATGTAAATAAAAACTTTACCATGTTTGAGTATTTTATGAATTTATACATATAAAAGTATAATTTTATTAGCATTGACAATAATCCTTTTATTATATTTCAGTGAGCTCCTGCATGATCAGGCCCCTGCTTCTATCTCTGACATCATCTCCTACTATTCTCTAGGGCATACACAAGGCTCTATATTAAAAGGTCAAGTGAGAAAGATTTATTTGTAACAGCCTGTAGTGGGAGGAAAAACAGGGTAGATTAGTGTCATGAAGCCAAAGTAAAAAAAAATTAGCAGGTAGTTCTGAAGGAAGATGGTGGCAGAGTCCCATGAATACAACTAGATAACTATCAAATCCTAAATACCCCAGGAATGAATCTGAAGACTGGCAGAACAAACTCCACAACTAAAGGTAGGGAAGAGGCCACACTGAAGATGATTGGAAGTATGGAGACATGGTTTGGGAGAGAAACAGATCATGGCCAATGTGGTGAGGAGGGAGCCATGGTCTCAGAGAAGGGTAGGAGACAAACTAGCACACAGGGGAGTGCATGGGGAAAATGAATCCCCTTAGCAATTGGCTTGGCAAGTGAGAGGGCCTACATTTTATGAGTTCTTGCAACCAGTGGGGCTTAAAGTTTGGAGATTTAAAAGTCAGCATGCTTGGCTTTGGAGAGCTTGGAGGACATTGGGGCTGCTCCTGAAGAAGACTGTGGACATACAGCATGGAAACACTGATTTGAAGAGCACTTGGGGCATGCAGTGGGGAGGTTAGTTGCTATCAGAGCATGTCTCAGGGAGGCAGCATTCATGGAGACCCCTCTGGGAACAAAAGAACTGACAGGTGCCATTTTCCTCCTCCTGCTTCTCAGCATAAGCACAGGGCCAGCTGCAGGAACCAGTGCTGTGCTAACACTCACCACCTACCTTGCTTATACCAAGCCCTGTTCCCCCAAACTCCAGTGGAATTGCCCTTCCCAGTCACACTTGCCTTAGTCCCAGCACAGCAGGCCCCTTCCCCAGAAGACCAGCCCAAACCCCTGCCAACACCATGTCTGCCAACTGAGGAGTTTTGTGAGGACTCAGTTCCAGTGTCAGTGGTGACAGGTCTCATTTCACAAGCAGACCACAGCACACCTAGTTAAAATGCGCCACATTCAGCCAGGGACCAAACATTGCCCACAACAAGCGAAGAGAGCCTCTGCAGACAACTGGTCTGAAGGATAAAGTGGCTAGGCCACAATAGCAGAGTACACACTGGAGACACTCCTTGAAGCACCAGGCCCAAGGGAACAGGGGGACACCACACTGCAGGGCACTATAAGACCTCTTCTTCATAGAGCCATTACCTTTAAGAACAGAGATATAGCTGACTTTCTTAACACAGAAAAACAGGGAGACTTAGACAAAACATAGAGACTTAGACAAAATGAGAAGACAGAGGAATTTGACCCAAAAGAAAGAACAGGACAAGGCCACAGCTGGAGATCTAAGCAAAACAGATATAAGTGACATGCCTGATGGAGAATTTAAAGCAGTGATCATAAGGATACTCACTGGACTTGAGAAAGGAGTGGAGGACATCAGTGAGACTGAGAATAAACTTAGGGAACTCAGTGACTCTATCAAACATAATTAACACTTGTATTATAGGAGTCCCAGAAGAAGAGACAGAAAGGTGGCAGAGAATTTATTTGAAGAAATAATAGCTGAAAACCTCCCTAATCTGGGGAAGGAAACAGATATCTAGATCCAGAAACACAGAGACCCCCCGCAACAAAATCAACAAAAGCAGATCTACCCCAAAACATATTGTAATTAAAATGGCAAAATAGGGGCGCCTGGGTGGCTTAGTCGGTTGGGCATCTCCTTTCAGCTCAGGTCATGATCCCAGGGTCCTGGGATCTAGCCCTGCATTGGGCTCCCTGCTCTGAGGGGAGCCTGCTTTTCTCTCTCCCTCTTCCTGCTGCTCCCCGTGTTTGTGCTCTCTCTCTCTGTCAAATAAATAAATAAAATCTTAAAAAAAATAAAATGGCAAAATATAGTGATAAAGAAAGAAATATGAAAAGCAGCAAGATAAAAGAAGACAGTTACATACAAGGAAACACCATAAGGCTAGCAGCAGCAGATTTTTCAACAGAAACTTACCATGCCAGAAAGGAGTAGCATGATATATTCAAAGTGCGGAATGGGAAAAATCTGCAACCAACAGTATCTATCCAGCAAGGCTATCATACAGAATAGAAGGAGAGATAAAGAGTTTCCTAGACAAACAAAAACTAAAGGAGTTCATGACCACTGAACCCAGCTCTGTGAGAAATATTAAAGGGGACTATTTGATAGAAAGGAATGATCAAAAAGACAGTATGAAGGTAGGAAACACAAAAGCAGTAAAAAGAATATTTCTGTAACAAGTCAGTCAAGGAACTCACAAAATAAAAAGATGTAAAATAGGACACCATATACCTAAAATGTGGGGAGGAGAAAAGAAGTGAATGGGTCCAAACTTAAATGACCATCAACTTAATACAGATTGCCATATCCAGAAGAGGTTATAGACAAACCTCATGGTAACCACAAATCAAAAAACACTAATAAATATGCAAGAAATAAAGAGAAAAAAATCCAAATATTACTAAAGAAAACCAGTAAACCACGAAAGAAAGACAAGATGGGATCAGAGAAAATCTCCAGAAACAACCACGAAACGAGTAATAAAATGGCAATAAATACATATCTGTCAGTAATTACTCTGAATGTAAATGGACTAAATCAAAAGACATACTGTGACAGAATGGATAAAAAAACAAGACCCAGCTGTATGCTACCTACAAGAGACTCATTTTTGACCTAAAGACACCTGCAGATTGAAAGTGAGGGATGGAGAAACATTTATCATGCAAATGCATGTCAAATAAAGCTGGAGTGGCAATACTTATATCAGAAAAAACAGACTTTAAAACAAAGATTGTAAGAAGAGACAAAGAAGGACATTATATAATAATAAAGGGGACAATCCAACAAAAAAATATAACAATTGTAAACATTTATGCACGCAACATGGGAGCACCCAAATACCTAAAACAATAACAAACATAAAGGACCTGATTGATAATAACACAGTAATAGTAGGGGACTTTAATACCCGACTTATAGCAATGGACAGATCATCTAAACAGAAAATGAACAAGGAAAAATTGGCTTTGGAATACATACTGGACTAGATGCATTTAACAGTTATATTCAGAACATTTCATCCTAAAACAATAGAATATACATTTTTTTCAAGTGCACATGGAACATTCTCCAGAACAGATCACATGTTAGGCCACAAAACAAGTCTCAAAAAATTTAAGAACACTGAAGTCATACCATGAATCTTTTCTGACCACAATACTTTGAAACTAGAAGTCAACCACAAAAAAAATCTGGAAATACCACAAATACATGGAGGTTAAATAACATGCTAACTAAATAATGAATGGATCAACGAGGAAATAAAAGAAGAAATTTAAAAATACATGGAAACAAATGAAAATGAAAACACAATGTTTTAAAAACCTTTGGGACACAGCAAAAGTGATTCTAAGAGGGTAGTTTATAGCAATATAAGCCTACAAGAAAAATCTCGAACACCAACCTTACACCTAAAGAAGCTAGAAAAAGAACAACAAAGAAAACCTAAAATCAGCAGAAGGAAGGAATAATAAAGATTAGAGCGGAAATAAATGATATAGAAACTAAAAACAAAACTAAACAAAAACCCCAAACAATAGAACAGATCAATAAAACCAGGAGCTCATTCTTTGAAAAAACAAAAAAACAAACAATAAAATTGATAAATCTCTAGCTAGACTTATCCAAAAGAAAAGAGAGAGGACCCAAATAAGTAAAATCACAAATGAGGGTGTAGAAGTAGCAACCAACACCACAGAAATACAAGCAATTATAAGAGAATATTATGAAAAACAATATACCAACAAATTGGACAACCTAGAAGAAATGGATAAATTCCTAGAAACATATAAACTACCAAAACTGAAACAGGAAGAAATACAAAATTTGAACAGACTGATAACTAGCAAAGAAACTGAATCAGCAATCAAAAAACTCCTAACAAACAAAAGTCCTGGACCAGACGGCTTCAAAGGAGAATTTTACCAAATATTTAAAGAAGAGTTAATACCTATTTTTCTCAAACTATTCAAAAAAATAGAAAAAGAAGGAAAACTTCCAAATTTATTCTATGAGGTCAGCATTCTCCTGATACCAAAACCAGACAAAGCCACTACCACAAAAAAAAAAAAAAGAAGAACTACAGGTCAATATCCCTGATGAACAAAGATGCAAAAATTCTCAACAAAATACTAGCAAATTGAATACAACAATACATTTAAAAAAAAATCATTCACCATGATCAAGTGGGATCTATTCCCGGGTTGTAAGGGTGGTTCAATATTCACAAATCAACCAACACGATACATTGCATCAATAAGACAAAGGATAAGGACAACATGATCATTTCTTTTCTTTCTTTCTTTCTTTTTTTTTAGAGAGAGACAGAGAGTGAGCGTGAGTGAGCAGGGGTTCGGGGAGAGAGAGGGAGAGAGAGAATCTCAAGCAGGCTCCATGCCCAGGGTGCAGCCTGATGTAGGGTCAATCTCACGACCCTGAGACCATGACCTGAGCCAAAATCAAGAGTCAGACACTTAACTGACTGAGCCACCCAGGTGCCCCATGATCATTTCAATAGACGTAGAAAAAGCATATGACAGAGTACAACATTCATTCATGTTAAAAACCCTCAACAAAGTAGGTTTAGAGGGAACATACCTCAACACAATAAAGGCCATAGCTAACATCATTCTCAATGGTGAAAAACTGAAAGCCTTTGCCCTAAGGTCAGGAACAAAACAAGGATGTCCACTCTCACCACTTTTATTCATCATAAAACTGGAAGTCCTAGCTACAGCAATCAGACAACAGAAAG